CCCCCGATGTCATCTCAAAGTGTGTGAAATAAATCTCACCATCCTCACTTCTAAGGAGCATTTTGGTTGTACTTTCTCCAACACAGATTGTTCAGATGTCTGGCAGTCCATGGCTTATTTAATATTCTTCATCAAGATCATAATTGAAAGGCATGAATTCTTCTTCCTTATTTATTGTCTAGCTTTGGCATGCACACGGGTAAAGCCAGGCACATATTAAGTCTTCAAAGTAATAGCTTTGTTTTGTTTTGTTTTTTTAACACATTACAGAGGTTCTTTACATCAGATTTTCTAAATGCAATACATCGTTTGCTTTCCTGACTGCTGCTTCCATGGGCATTTATTGTGGGTCTAAGTAAAATGAAATCCTGGGCAACTTCAATATTCTCTCCATTTATCCTGATGCTTTGTACTGGTCTACTAGTTGTGAAATTTTTTGTTTTATGTTGAAGGGTAATCATACTGAAAGATTTGATCTTCGTCTGTAAGTGCAAGTCCTCTTTGCTTTTAGAAAACAAGGCTGTGTCATTTGCATATTGCAGGTTAATTAGGCTTCCTCCAGTTCTGGTGCCACATTCTTCCTATAGTTCAGCTTCTTGGATTATTTGCTCAGCATAAAGATTGAATTAAGTGTGGTTAAAGGATACAATCCTGACACACATCTTTCCTGATTTAAACCACACATTATCCCCTTGTTCTGTTTAAATTACTGCTTCTTGCTAAATACACAGGTTCCACATGAGCAAAATTAAAAGTTCAGGAAAGAACTTCTGGTAAGATGGTGGACTAGGCAGTTAGGATATCCAGATACACTACCACAAAAATGTAAGAGATCAAAAGAAACAGACAGGGATGATAATCCTGGAACCCTTAACTTCAGAGAGAATAGAGAAGTACATCAAATACCCCACTATAAGAAGCTGAAAAAAATGGCAAATGGAGACAAATGGAACGTTGACCTTCAGCTGGCCTGATAGTGTGGTCATTCTCAGCTTTTACATGCAGTGTTTGATTAGCTAAGATCATGCAAGTGCCAACACCAGCGGCTGGTGACCAGAAAGGTGGAATTGTTCCCTTGTTCCCCACACCCTCTCAGTGATCTGATGTGTGGCTAGCCTCCCTCCACCTTCACTCACCCAGTGAACCAGTGGCACCCCATCCTATGCAGCTCCTGCTCTGCCTGAAGCTGGAGGTGCACTCTCGTGGAGTAGGTGCTGCATGCATGCCACAACAGCCTTTGGAAACACATGTTTTTCACCTCTTCCAATGAGCTAAACTCACAGTGCCAGGTGAGCACCTTGCCCTCACTACCCCTTGGGTAGGCAGGAACTAGTTCAGTGACTAGATTCCCTGACTCCAGCCACCATCTGAGCTGGCACGAACTCATTCTAGGAACAAACACTCTGCCTCCATCTGTCCTCTTAACCCATAGAAATTCCTTCCAGAACCAACTCTGATGCTTGTAAAAAATCCATCCAGGCCTGGATACCCCACTCTGTGCCCTCCCCACCCTGTGACCTCCTCAGTGGGCAGAGTGCATCAAACCTTACCAGGCACACAAATCACCACCACCTCCTCAGCTGAAATGAGCATTGTCCAAACATCCTATTCTCCCACCCAGTTTTCTCCTTTTTTCCACCTGCCTACTTTTTACTCTTTCCCCTGTTTTCTTTATTTTTTCCCTCCTTTTTTCCAATTTCCTGTTTCTTTCTTTACTTCGACTTCTTGTTTTCTTTTTCCCTTCCTTTCTTCTTCTTTTCTTCTTTACTAGTCTTATTTTGCTTTTATTCCTAAACATTTTTAATTTAGGGTCTTTTTCTTTTTTACATTTCTTGCATTTGTCTTCTTTAAAATTTAAATTTTTTTTCTTGCTAATTTTTCTTTTTTTGTTTTTAATTGTATATTTTGTTATTGTTACCTTCTCCTTCTTTTACTCTTCTTTTTTCCTAGTCCTACCCAATGGGACACACCAACTATGACCACACATCCAACCATACTCATACTTCCTTCAACTCCACCCATTGAGCAAATGCCACCACTTCCTCCTGCACCATCTGATCAATTATATACAGTGGCCAGCACCAGCCAAACTTGACCTCAACATTCTAAACAAACAGCAAACAGACAACTGCTTTCACAATTCCCTCCTCTATCACAACTACCTAGAGACACACAAACATATCATCACAAGTTAAATACAAATACAACATCACACTGTCTCAGAAACAACAGACAACCTCAGTTCACATGAAGAAACAAGACAGAGTGACTCAAACAAGTGAGCAAAATACAGAGCCATAAAAAGTTTTAGAGGAATAATAGCATTAGAGCCACCTGGTAAGAAAGTCAAAAGAAACTTGTATTCAACAGATTGAGAGAAAGATCTAGGAAAGTACAGGCAAAATCAAGGAAACCACAGACAAAATTGTAGAAAAGTTACGGAAAATACTCCAAGAAAAACCTGGGAAAAAATTACAAACAATACAAAAACTGCAACCATAAAAGCATAAGATTCATACTAAATTTTTTAAAAATAGTGCACTGTAATCCAAAATCTGGATTATATGAAGAAAGTGGCATCAGGTTTAGAGGAAGACTTATTAACCTATTATATGCAGATGACACAACCTTGCTTACTGAAAGTAAAGAGCACTTACTGATAAGACCAAACACTACACAATACATTACACCTCAACATAAAGAAAACAAAAGTCCTCACAATTATATCAAAAACATCATATAAATGGAAAAAAGATTGAAGTTGTCAAGGATTTTATTTTACTTGTGTCCACAATTAATGCCCATGGAAGTACAAGTCAAGAAATCCAACAACATATTGCATTAGCAAATCTGCTGCAAAAGACCTCTTTAAAGTGTTAAAAAGCAAAGACAACATTTTGAGGACTAAGGTTCACCTGATCCAAGCCATAGCATTTTCAATTGTCTCACATGCATGTGAATACTGAACAATGACTAGGAAGATCAAAGAAGAATTAATGCCTTTAAATTACAGTGTTGGCAAAGAATACTGGAAATAATAACTGCTAAAAAAAACAAACGATCTGTGTTGGAAGAAGTACAGTCACAATGCTCCTTAGAAGTAAGGATGGTGAGATTTCATTTCACATACTGTGTACATGTTATCAGGAGAGACCAGTACCTAGAGAAGGACATCATGCTTGGTAGAGAACTAGCAAAAAGAGGAAGACCCTCAATGAGGTTGAGTGTGACACAGTGGCTGAAACAAAGGGTTCAAACATTGTAAGGATGATGTAGGCCCAAGCAGTATTTTGTTCTGTTGTACATAGGGTCACTGTTAGTTGGAGTCCTAGTGTGGCACTGTAGGATAAACAATAGACTACTAACCACAAGGTTAGTGATCCAAATCTACCAACCACTCCTTGGAAACCCTATAGAGAGTCACCATTACTTGGAAATAAGTCAACAGCACTTAACAAATTTTAGATTTGAACTTGAAGACATGAATACATCACCTTCAAATTTTCATTTCTTTCCAGGATATTATTTTGCTATTAAAAATCTGTGAGGAATGAAAACAGAAGAATAAAAGAAAACTCCAAGAAAATTCATAATTAAAAACTATCGCTATTGAGCAAATAATCCAAGAAGCTGAGTTATATGAAGAAAAACATGGCATCAGGATTGCTGGAATACTCATTAACAACCTACAAAATGCAGATGATACAACCTTGCTTGCTGAAAGTAAAGAGGACTTAAAATAGTTACTGATGAAGATCAAAGATCACAGCCTTTGGTATGGATTGCATCTAAATGTAAAGAAAACAAAAATCCTCACTAATAAACAACATTCTTATCAACGGAGAAAAGATTGAAGTTGTCAAGGACTTCATTCTTCTTGAATCGACCATCAACACTCATGAAAGCAGCAGTCAAGAAATCAAACAACATGTTGTATTACACAAATCTGCTGCACAAGACCTTTTTAAAGTGTTGAAGAACAAAGGTGTCAGCTTGCAGACTAAGGTGCACCTGACCCAAGGGATGGTACTTTCAATAACCTCATATGCATGCGAAAGCTGGACCGTGAATAAGGAAGACCATAGAAGAATTGATGCTTTTGAGTTATGGTGTTGGAGGAAAATATTGAAAGTGCCATGGGCTGCCAAAAGAACCAACAGATCTGTGTTGGAAGAAGCACAGCCAGAGGGCTCCTTGGAGGTCAGGATGGCCAAACCTCGTCTCTCATACTTGGGACATATTGTCAGGAGGGACCAGTCTCTGGAGAAGGATATCATGTTTGGTAAGGTGGAGGGTCAGAGGGAAAGAGGAAAACCCCTAGCTAGATGGATTGACAAAGTGGCAGCATCAATGGGCTCAAGCGTGGCAACAATTGTGAGGTTGGCCCAGGACTGGGCGGTATTTTGTTCTGTTGTGCATAGGGTTGCTATGAATCGGTCCTGGCTCGATGGCACCTAACAACAACAAAAACTAAGAACTAAAACATTTTTAAAGCTCTTTAACAATGGTATTTGTCTAAGGACCATTTCCTCCTTTTGGTTTAGACTGAGAAAGGAGGAAATCAGGGCTGTACATGGTAAATAGGCTGGTTTAATAAAGTATATATATTCTATAAAGTATTAATAAAAAGAGTTGTAGAAGTGTATCATTGAAATAAATTTATCACCAGAAAACAATTTGTATATACATGATTTCACCTGAAAAGATCTTATAAAGAAATGCTTTGCATAGATTTTCAACAGCTTGGTATGAACAGACAAGGGTCTCTGATTACTTGGGGAAAATGCTATGCTAAGAATAATAAGCTGTACAAAGTGGGGAGGGTGCTTGTCCTGAGCACCGTTTACCTTCTGTGATATTCAATACATGAATTCAGTGAAATTCAATACAGTACCAACAGAGAAAGGAAACCAAATGTAATCTTCTCATTCCCCATGGCTGTTTGACTGTAGGACGTGTGAGGAGTATAAGTCCTAGTCCTCTGAGAGATTCCACCAAATTCAACCAGAGAAATTCTGGAAGATGTCAGCCATCACTACCCAGTTTTGAAAGCAGGAGAGCCCATGATCCCGGATCTGCTTCCGCCCTTTGTCAGTGATGACGTCTCCATTCTGCTTCACAATCACAAGCTTGGGGATGGCTGTGATACTGTATTTCTTCTTCAGTTCACTGGGGGAAGGAGAGAGAAAATACCAAAAGGTTACTACTTCAGACATGGGAGCACCAATACCACACATCTACCAGTGGCAGTTATTCACACCTGTCCTGGTGACACAACTAATTTACAATGAAACTACTGTAAACCCTTTAGAACACAGTCCACAGATCTCCCTGTGTTGCTACTACCACCACCACCACCACCACTTATGGTCAAGTTGATTCTGACTCATAGTGACCCTATAAGTGTCAGAAAAGAACTGTGGTCCATAGAGTTTTCGAGGGCTGATTTTTTTCAGAAGTAGATCACTGAGCCTTTCTTCAGAGGCAACTGTGAGTGGACTGGAACTACCAACCTTCCAGTTAGCAGTCAAGTGTGCTAACCATTTGCCACACCCAGGAACTCTACTAAACTACTTGTGAATTGTTTTTGCATCTCTTTGCTTCCTATTCCTGTAGGCCAGGGTTATCCCAGAGAACTGTGCAGTGATGCAAATGTTCTGTACCTGAGCACTCTAATACAGTAGCCACATACAACTACTGAGGACTTGAAATGAGGAATTGAATTTTAAATTCTGGTAAAATATTAATTACAATTAAAGTAACCACACATGGTTAGTGATTGCCCTCCTGGACAGTGCAATTCTAAGCCCATATACAAACACAATAATTTATATCCTTTTCTACAGTTCAGAAGGTCAAAATAACCCAACTACATTTAACAGGAAAAGCTGGAATCTCATGAGTTCTAAATAAACTCAAAGCCTTCTTTTAAAACTTTCCACTCCACTAATTCATTGATGCCCTGATCAACATTATTATAGAGAAAACATTTTTAGTTACATTTACTGTCCTCTATAAGCCCATGAGGGTGGGGGGCAGGGGGACTTCTTACAACATTCTCGTATTCATTTAGGAAAAGAACTATCTGCCTTCCTTCTTCCTTGGGCAATTTTGTCTATAACCTTCACAGAGATCACTCTTCTCAAAACAGGACTGCTGGTAGTGTGCCGTGGAGTAGGTTCCAAGTAATAGCAACCCTGTAGAGAGTTCCTGAGGCTGTAAATCTTTATAGGAGCTGAAAGTCTCATCTTTCTCCTGTGGAACATCTGGTAGTTTGGAACTGTTGACTTTGAGGTTCACAGCCCAATTTGTAACCACTACATTACAAAGTGAAAATTCTCTCCCACACCCAGGCTGCAAAGGCTTCACATGAACAGTAGTAATATGTTTTCCTTTATCTGCCATGCCCAGGATTATGAACCCAAATGAAGGAAAAAGGCATTTGAGATGCTTCCTTTACCAAAATCGCCTCATGGTACCTCCATCAAAGTCTTTCCACACCCAGATTAAAGGCAAACCAATAACTCAAGCAGAAAAAGATGCAAAATTTCTAAAGCTCAACAAAGATAGAAACAGGTATTGCTTTAAAAAAATGTCCAAAATAAATGTCAGCAGCAACTCACAAGACTAGATCAAAACCATAGGGGGCAGTGAGTTTATGTTAATGGGGGAAGAACAAATTTGAAAAGGAAGGTGAGAAGGGTTGCACCAGTCAAAGAAGATAATCAGTCACCGATTGTGCATGTAGAAATCATTGAACTGATGTATGTTCTGCTGTGTATATTCTCAACAACAAAAATAAAATTTTAAAAATCCTTGAAACATAGTAAATTTTAATAGGATCAGTACAATATAGATCATCAGACCATATTACAATTAAATTTAAAAACCAATAAAAAATAATTTTTTCAGAGCAAGTTTAAAAACTAAATAACTTGTGTTACAAAACTAAATAACTTGTGTTACATAGGAAAAAAGCAGTGCAGATTACAAAATATTTTAAATGAAACAATATGGGTCATCAAGGAAAAAATAGGGACAAATATAAGGGCTCTAATCCTGGGGGCACACAGACTACAAAACATTAAGAAAATTACACAAACAAAAGAAGACAAAATAGATGATTGGGACATTCTAAAAATTAAAAACTTATGTGCATCAAAAGATTTTTCCAAGAGTAAAAAGTGAGCCCACTAACTGGGAAAAAAATCTTTGGCAATGACATATCAGACTAATTTATAAAATCTATAAGAAACTACAACACCTCTATAAGAAAAAGACAAGTAACCCAATTAAAAAATGGGCTCAGGACATGAATAGACACTTTACCAAAGAAGACATTTGAGCTGCCAACAAACATATGAAGAAATGTTCACGATCATTAGCCAAAAGAGAGATGCAAATCAAAACAATAAGATATCATCTCACACCAGCAATAATAGCAAAGTTCAAAAATGCAGAAGATAATAAATGTTGGCAAGGATGTAAAGAGACTGGTGGGAATTTAAAATGGTCCAAGCACTCTGGAAAACAGTATGGCACTTCCTCAGAAAGTTGGAAACAGAAATACTATATGATCCAGCAATTCCTCTACTTTGTATATATCCACAAGAAACATGAGCCATAACACGAGTAGATATATGCACACCAATGTTCATAAAGCACTATTCACAATAGCAAAAAGATGGAGACAACCTAAGTGCTCATCAATGGAAGAATGGAAAAAAAGCTTTGGTACATACACACAGTGGAATATTATACTACCTTGAGGAATAACAAGGAAGATGCATGCCACCGCATAACATGGATGAACCTTGAGGACATTATGCTGAGTGAAAGTAGTCACAAAAGGACAAATATTACATAAGACCATTACTGTAAAAGCTTAAGAAAACATACCCATACTAAAATGAAAAAATAAAATTTCTTTGTTGGTTACTGGTGGAGCTGGAGTGGGGAGGTTTGGGGTAGGTGGAGGGTGGCGACAGTAGAGCACAGGGTAGGGGGCAGACACATCATAGTTTGGATGCTGGGGAGGACAGTATACAAGAAGGGAGAGAGGGTGAAAGAACAAGGTATCTAGGGGAAGACTGAGACAGGTTTGCCTGAGCTGAATGGGACAGAGGTAAATAGTGATACATGCTCAACCCTGGAAAAACAGGGCTCTGTGATACAAGGATGAAGGCATAGTTTGAAGAGGGGAAATAATACTAAGATGCTTGACTGTCTTATGTATATTGGTTTCCCTTGCCTACTATTGTAAAATGGTAACTTAAGTGGGATAGAAAGGAATGTTGGGAAACATGATTACAGAAAGCTTGTAAGCCTATATAT